GATTTTATTGCCGAATACTTATTTTTTGCCAAATGTTATATTTTTTTTTGCCAAATTATTGTGTTTTTTTTAAGTGCTGAGTGGCATAAATTGAACCAAATAACAAAACTTCGGTATAAACTTTTATTAATAAATTTGAATTTAATCGACTGTAATTCGGCAGCCGAATAACCCAATTTGGACTAGTGTAACTTAGGCTACAATTAATTTACCTTTTAAAGATTGTTAATGTAATGACAGTAAATTTATATTTAAATAAAATCTTGCATTTAATGTTCATTTGTGATAAAAATAATTAATTGATAACTTATTAGATTGGGAGAGCACATAACATGCCTTGTGTAAGTTCCAGTAATCTTTAATTTTATATATATTCAAACAATACAACAAGTAATTGGAGTAGACTTCAATTATATAACTTATTTATATTTTAAGCACAATATTTCTTTATTAACCATATAACTATTTTTATTATTTTAACAATGGAATTGTAACCTATGAGTAGCAATACTATTGTTAAAAAAAAGGCAATTAAAGCTTAATCAAAATAAATAAAAGTAAAGTACTTTTATTGTGAATGGAAGTAAAATATTAGGAAATTGCATTCTATAATCTGACAGCTTAAACCAGTACTTCTCTATTGCTGCTAAAGTCAAGCCCAGCTATTAAAAAGAAAGTAATAATCTAAATAAATATATTTGGTTTGTGTCTTGTAGGAGAGGTTGTTTGTTTAAAGATAATATGTCTTTAAATCTTAATATATATTATCACTTCAAAATTTTTTACATTTATAAAATATTAACTTTATGTTTCACTTACAATTAAATAATATATAGATTATCATATACTCTTTTAATATTTTTTTCTTTTTAATCAAACAACTATCATTCTTTTTTACAACTTGAAATCTTGTTTAAAATGTTTTTTTATTTTTAACCAAACAACTAGTACTCTTTTTTACAACTGGAAATCTTGTCTAAAATGTTTTTTTATTTTTAACCAAACAACTAATACTCTTTTTTACAACTAAAAATCTTGTCTGAAATGTTTTTTTATTTTTTATTTTTTTATAGCAGATAGTTTTTCAAGTTTTTCTTGTTTAAAAGTTTTTCCAATAATATATTTGTTTATAGTAGCAGGTTGATATATATTATTATATACTTTATTCTTTATTGATTCTATATACAATATATTACATTTATTACATTCTAATCAATAAAAACATGAGGAAGATATTACTTAATATTTTTAAAAAAGAATAACAGTAGTATATATAAGAAGCTAACCAAACTTTTTTTTATTACTAAGATTTTTAAAACAAGGCACAATTATTTGGTCTGAGTTTCTTTTTTAAACTTTATAAAACAAACTCACAATTTATCAATACACATTCATGGTAAAACAATTATTCAAACTGTCTCTTAGTTTCTGTTGTAGAAGTACTCTCTTTTATTAAAGATTTAGTCTTTTCCTTATATACATATTATTCATATAGTAAAATTATAATAACTATTCTAACTATTTTTACTATAATTACTATTTTACTATTTTAACTATAACTAAAAATATATATATAATTAAGAAAACACAAACAAATAGAGTGAAGATAACCTAGATTTGTGAGATTTGTGATCATCATAACATCAGTTCATATGATGATGCAAATCTCCTTTAATGAGTAGTATGCTTCTGTGGGCTTTAGTCTAGATTCTGACAATTTTGGCAATTATACTATTAAAAAAAATTTGCAAATTGTGAAAGGATTATTAAAATTATTACCAAGCTTAATATTTATAATAAACTTTTACTATCAAAATATGAAACTATGAATAAAGAGAAAACAATTAAGAATTGCTGAAGGTAGTCACTTTGTGAGTATTAATATATAATCTGAACATTCTATTTGTTTCTCTTCCTTATTTAACACTTGTTCAAGTAAGATATCAATAATAGTAGTTGGATCAGAAATTCAAACAGATTTGAACTTTGATCTCCTTTTTTTTGTTTGTTTATCTGAGGTATTTTCTGAAGTGTGTAAAGATAGATGGTTGTTTTCTAATTGTTCATTTAGAGATATTGATATTGTTTTGGGAGAAATTGCACTTTGTATCTAAGATAAATGAGAATATATCATTTGTTGTTTACACTCCCGATTCTCTTTGACCCGAATATAGGATATACGATATTTTATTGCCATGGTATTAATAGCATCGGGTACTTTATCGAATGATGTTTTAATTTTTTTGATTGCTTCATTTGATAAAAATCTTGCATTAGCACTATAATATTCTTTATGAATACGACCATATCAGAATATTTTTATTGTTTATGAACTATTAAAAAAAATCGAAACATTTTGCAATAACTTTATATATATTGATACATTTCGAAATGTTTCGAAATATTTGTATGCTTTAGAATATTTAAAAAATTTTTAATATGTATAAACTTTTGTAACTAATTATTTATCATATCTGCAAATTTCCATATAACGTAAATACGTGTATATGATGTGCGATACTTTCTAGTTAAAATCAATATTGCATTTTGCACATCTCTAATATTTATTGTTTTATTTAACCGAAATAACAGATAACTGACAACAATTAATGAATTGGTAGGTGTTAGTTCATTTTGACACCGCAAGTTTTATGTATGAATTTGGACGTGACATCAATGTCACTGGCGCAGTAATGATCATATTCTATTTTTCTTTCTTAAAACTTTGACTACTGTATCACATAATCAATATTTTCTTGACTTAAGTTCGAAATGTTTGATGCCGAAAATGATCTAATAACTCTTATTTTCTCTTTACCAATACTAACAAATAAATCATATATTTTTCCTGCTCTCTCTTTTCTTTTTTTCAATGCATCATTGGTGATATCATCGGGGAGTTGTTTCCGGATTTCGTCATTAACAAGAGCCAAGCAAGCTCGTTCTCCATGTTTTAGATTCTTGTAATGATCGAAACGTTTTTTCATGGCTTCACCAAAATTAAAATAACTTTTAATAACTTCCCTACTTGCTATCTCACGTTTAGATTCAGTCTGCGTAATTTTGTTGTAATAATACAAAAAATTATTGGGGCTTTCGTTGACTTCTATTGCTTTTTCAATTTATTTTATTTTTTATCATGCATGCGATCGAAGTTTAAAAATTTCTTGGCAAAAGTAATCTTCGAGTTCCTGATCATTTGTCAGGATGATTTTATTTTCAAAATTTAAATAACTCTGTGTCTTATATAAAACAATGTCGAACGATCGATTAACAATCAATACCATGAGAGAATTAAACTCTAGGCTTACATCCAAGATTACTGAACTTAGAAAAAAATTTTCCGAGGTTATGGCCGAGAACATCGAACTTAGCCAAAGGCTAGCTCACGCTAAAGCTGAGAACGCAAAATAAAAACAGGCTTTGGAAGAGCATGAATCCAGATTTGCGAAACTGGAGCAGAGTGATAAAGATACTGCTTCGGAAAATGCTGAACTTAAAGCTGAAATAGCAGAATTAAGGCATGGTATTGTGGAAATCAAAAAGAAAGATCAAAGCGTTACTAATATTTCTGCATTTGATATAACTAATAACACTTTAAATCCTGGCGTTAGCCTATCTTCGATTGATCTATGCCAGGACACGAAGACTCAGCAGGAAGCTGACGAAAGCCAATGTATCACATCACCAATTCGCACAGAGGCTAAATCATCAGAGGACACGGAGATTGAATTTCTGGAACGAGTACATAAAGAAACTGTTAGCAATGAGATCAGGCGAAGAAAGCATGAGGAGAAGCTTCAACAAGAAACAGTTATCCGGTGCCTATCAAATAGTACAAAAGCCATTCTCTCTAAAAATGATCAAGGTACAAATTTATCATGTGATGTAAAAACCGTTCCCTTGGGGAACGATCAAAAATCAAACAGAAATTTCTGAATTAGAACAAGATGATGAGAGTGATAAAAATCAAATCTTAGAACAAGGCTTAATAGAAGAATTATATTTATCTACAGATATTACTAGCTCTACTGAAATTAACGTATTATGCGATATATCAGAAAATAAAAGTTCAGCTCAATATTTGTCTTATTTATGCAAAACAGAAATTAAATCTGACAACAAGAAATCTTAAACTGGTATTACTATTCTCTTGAGTTTGAAAACAGGGTTTATGCAATTACAGCTGATGGTAAGATCAAAGACAAAACAGCAAGAACGATAATTTATAAAGAAATGAAACCGTTTCTTCCTAATATTACTCAAGATAACTTGCGTAAAAAAACTCCTAGAGCTAGAAAACTTCTTACGCAATTTGGGAAAAATGGATAAAATTAAGCTAACCTCATATAGCGCAAATGAGATTTCAAAATTGACTAATGCACAAATTCAGAATACAGTATTATAGATCGATCAAAATCATATAACCAAAACTTTGTCAGGAATGAGGTAAGTATATCTACTGAATCCCCTGTTTCCGATTCATCTAAAGTTGAGGTAAATGTAGCGCCTAAAAAGGTTTCAGCATTCCCACTATATGAGAACAAAACCCGACTTCCAATTTCTATTTTACCTGAAGATCCAAAAGAGAAACGAAAATGTGTAATTAAAATAGTATTGAAAAAGATTCCCAATTTATCTCTTAACTATAGTAACAAAAATGTCGATTATTTTACTTGTTTAACATCATGCCGTATATGCAATAAATTTCATAAAAAGGAAAACTTAGAAGGTGAGTGGGGCAGTGGTGATTATGCCAATACAAGAACTTATCGCCTCAAATGCTGGGGAAATAAATATCAGAATTCAATCCAAATAGTAACAGTAAAGGCATGATATGTGATTAAGTTGGAAACTCGTGGCTTTGCCACTGGCACTAGCTTTGCTATTGATAACCAGCATAAATCATTTTTCCGCGATTACATTGGGTTGCTGTCCTTGGGCACATATCATGCATATAATTTTACTCGTTTGCTAATCGAATATACCGAGTACATAAAATCCATTTTGGGTAAGTGAAATCTATTTCGAGTATATTATTGCGGAGCAATGAGGTTTCAACTCTACAAGCATATGATTAATTCCCAGCTATATGGATGTACGACACCCGCCTAGTGTTCCGAATGGGTCGGGTCAACCCGAAATTTTATATTTCGGGTCAGATCATTTGCTTACGTAACAATTTCGGGTGGGCCAGATCGGGTCGGGTCAATATCGGGTTCGACCCGTTTGACCTGCTCTATTTTCAGTCTGAGTTTTAAAAAAACAAAGCAGTCATATTATTTGTAATCAAATTTTTAAACAAAATTATATTTGACTAAAATTCTTTATTTATAATTGAACTCGCTCTAGTTGCAATTTCTAAATTAGAAAAGATCAGCTTTATGAGCAAAATATATACTAAGGTATTTCGTATTCTGACAATTCTGATGTTGATCTTGTTTACAGCATACCTTTGATTCTTTTACCTACGTTATCCTTGATTATGTAAATGCCCTCTAGGTTTGAATATTTAAAAATCTTTGTTTCTTTTCCCTAACCATTTATACAATTAATGTGCTCTTTTATAAGTTATTCTCTTTCACCATTATTCATGAATTTTCAAATTCGGAAAATTTGATGTCAACCGGTAAAACGAACAAAATGGTGATTTTATTATTTTAATAATTATCAACATATACTGTATTCTTGCATTATAGTTTCCGCGCCCGATGGATAATAATTTCAACTTCTGATGGAATTGCTATTGTACGTATCTGATTTGATTCGTAGCGTAGGTGACAAAGTATTCTTTCTTATCAAAAATTTTAATTTTAATATACATAGGATATGAAATTTAGAGAAAGGCGTTTCCATGTCTGTATTTCATGACCATCACGGACGGATATTGTGTACTGCATGGAGTTTAGATGATAAGGATTGTTTTCACGGGAGGAGATGACGCGATGTGTTTCGGCTGAAGATCATCTGAAAATATTTGCGAATTTTTGACTAC